GGTTCGATTCCTTTGCTGCATGACATCCCCTCTCTTTCTCTTGTGCCTTTCCTGTCTCTCTCAGCAGAAATGCCAAAGACTTCACTACAACATTGGGTCTACAAGATTGCCCCACGGTATTGGCTGCTTGTGTTTTCCCCTACAAGATTCTGATGTTAGAGTAGATTGTTGATAGTGAAGACAACAATCATGAAGTGAAAGTGAAAGACAGACTTCAGTTTTCTCCTTTTCAGGAACAGACATCTCACAAAGACATCTCAACTGTAAACCTTCTACTTAATGTGATCCTCTTTGTATCACAGTGAATGACAGAACAAAAGCACTGCACACTATTCAGTAATCCGACATGACTAAATATAAGTTACCAGGATGGAACTGCTGTTATTTAAGTACGTGTGTAGCCCACTGTCACTCTGTATCACAACGTGAAGTGAAATAATAACATGTGGGATATAAATGGGTGGAAACTGACACTAAAGTACAAATTATGACCTATGTCATAGGCACCTATGTCGGGACTCCCTGTGTTGCCTTTGTGTCAAGAATAAATCCAGCTTTAAAGAAACCAAAGAAGGAAATGTCATGCAAACCCCGATCTCAAATGTCAATGTCAGATACTTCGTACATCCAATCATCGCCCGGACATCCCCCAAAAGTGGTTTTGGAGCATTATAACAACATCACTTGCCTTTGCTTATGATAGGGAACAGTCATTATTTGCACGACAAGTGGACGATTGTCAGAAAAGGATTTCTGGTGACCACAGTGTTGTCCAAAAGTCTTATGTTTATCCAAAGTAACTTAAGAAATGATCAAATCTGATCTTAAGGGTTAGTAAGTGTAAGAGGTTTTGAGAAATAAAGACTTCCCTGTTCATCATGTGAAAATGCTTTGTCACCAGAGGTGTTAACACAAGCGAAATGTAATCATTTCATCTCGTAGTGATTGTTAACTCTTACTCATACTCATTACTCATGTGTTTATGAAGACTAAAACATTGCCATGGCAAACAAATTTCTATTGAACTTCCTATGCAAACAAGTGACAAAAACCATCTATAATTTTACGTTTGAATGATTATATATGCTGTATGATTTAACATCCCCCATTCTTTCTCTACGACTCAAGAGAATGCTAATAAAAGTGCTGCTGGGTGGTTTGGGCAGAGACTTCTAGTCTGAGGGGCCAACAAGGCCTGCTTTAAAATAACAACACTTTAAGCTTCTAGGTGTTAAGGTAAATGGTCAAGTGTAATCCCCTTAGCTCCTAACCAGCATTAGTAGAAATTCCTCAATAATACGCAACATGATTTCATAGTGACTGCTGCCTTTGAGGGATGTTTGTAATGCTGAAAGGGTCACTGAGGGGCATAGACAGACAGACAGACAGGCAGACAAGGAGACTTAAGTGCGCCGGTTTGAGGAAAAAGGTTCCTTTTTTTCTGGTGATTTCAGACTTGAGTCATTAGGATCCGTTTTTCTTTAATAACAAAGAAGGTGGTGGAGCACGGCCAAATGTTTGTACAGCTGATTATTAACACCCACCTTTCTCCACTCGACTAAGCTATGGGAAAAAGTGGAAAAGACAAAAATACAGGCCAAAAATACACAAAAATAATGAATCTGGATCTCTACATCTGGTCTTTGTCATTTGTATTCCAAATTTCAGTCTCTTGAACTGGTGTAGGTTTGAGGCATCATCAGCAGAGCAAATTTGACTTTGAGTTTATTGAAACAAACCTGTCAGTCTGAAGGGTAAACCCACCAGCTGCGTAACATATCATTTGACACCCTAGAACACATTGGATGTACCGTTCAGACAGAGGAAATAGTTGTGGTATAGTAACCAGGATGTGCTGATCTGTGGAATGAATTAGGGAAGCACCAGTCCATCTTTTTCTCCCCCGTTACTAATTCTGCTTACCAAACTCCAATGCTTTAAAAAAAAAAAATCCCAAATGTAAAATCTGTTAACCTCTCCACATGGAAGTGATTCAGATGAGTAAGCTAACATAAAGTTGTTGTAACTGTGGAGAGATTCATACTTCAAGATCCTTTTCAGGCTTGTGTATATTTTAGAATAGGTTTGGAAATTGCGTCGTTCAACCTCATAATGACAAACTCACTCTCATGTTCAACTTGTCTAATACATGTATAACATACAGTTCCTTCTGTAGGATTACTGGATACAGACCTTACAAACAGTGCTTAGCTGCTGTGACAAACAATGAGCCAATGACATAGGCCCAATCCACACTACTGCGTTTTCGAATTAAAACGGAGACCTTTTGCTACATTTGCACCTCCTGTCCAGGCTACAATGATGAAAACGAAGACCTAACACGGAGAAGTTTGGAAACGCTGCCGACCCCGTTTTGCATTTCAAAACTCCGGAGGCCGTTTTAGTGAAGACGGGCCAAAACGGAGGACTTTAGAAACGATGACGCAGCCGCTCACGCTCGGCTCTCTGATTGGGTCTTGCAAAGCAGAAACACAATGCTACTGACCGGGTTTTTGACATCATATTTTTATTAAAATATTCTGTACCATGCAAATAACACTCATCTGCCTACACTTGTACTGTGCATGTCGCCGTTTACTTTGCAACAACTCCCAGTCTGTTTTCTGACGCCACACTCCCGTGTTACATTCAGTAACAGTTACATTACTCAACAGTTATTCTTTCGCCAAATCTTCTGTAACTAGTGTTGTGTTGTTCAATGAATGTTTTGTTCATAAGACCTAATCGTGTGTATGACTCGGGAGGAACATTTTCACGTTAATTTTCACGCATGTGTGAAGGATCTTTGACTCTTACGTTCACTCGTCACATCACTCGGCAGCTGCATCGGCTCCGTCAGCACAGGAAATAGAATTGATTAGTTCACGACTCTCAACTGTGGGTCTCTAGGTCTGAGGCGTTCATTTGTCACGTGACAGCTACTACTGTGGAGCAGGAATGAACCACTCGCTCAGTCTTTCGTTCACTCTGCAGGCTGAGCGACTGCCAGCACCGGAGAATGAGAGGCAGGTCGGCTGTCAGGTAACAGTCACTGGACTGACATTATATAGCTATTTTGTTAATTATGTGAAATTTTAATAAAGCATAACATTATTACAGCGCAGTGATGTTGTGCTAAGTTATAGTTTTAATACAGCCGTACCGTAACTTTAGTCCAGCTAGTGTTTAACATTACAGCTAACAGCTAATGAGAGTTGTTGTGGGTTTGCTCCACTTCAGAGCCCTGACACGGTTCTACCAGGAGCCGAATTACCTTAGAGGTCGTCTCCTCTCCAAAACAAAAAGACCCAGACATTTAAACATTAAAACACAGCCACGTAGCAACGTTAGCGTTAGCCCTGTAAACAGCTAACAGCTGATCCAGGTCCGCCAGAGAACGCAAAGTAACTTTTCCTTTTTATTTACCAACGGAGCCCTGCTGTTGTTTCACAGCTCTTGGCTGGTGAACAACCTGCAGTGCGTTTCTCTGTCTGCAGAATCAGAACCTGATGTGGCCCATTCTGCGTCCAGAACTGCCAAACTGCTGCATTTATATGTGTTTATTTCTTTGTTCCTCTCTCTGTGCTGTAGTTCTTGAAGAACTTGGTGGCTTGATCCAGATTATTATTAAATTGGTTGAATTTTAATAAGAGTGTGTTAATTCATATAGTGTATCAAGCTTATTACTTCTATATATTTACTGCAAATCTGATATTAATATTTTACTCATGGATACGGTATGGTACGGTTAGGTTACTGTATGAATGAGCACTTTAGAGATAATGATAGTAATTATATACATAAGCCTTTATATAGCTGGTCTGGTTGTATACTCAGGAAAGATTGTGAAAATGGAAGGATTTAGGCGGAGTAGTGGATTGCATATAGACAACATATTTCTGTGGTTTTTACATGGTTGGAATTTGGTTGTGGGCCCAGGGGGGTTTATATAATAATGATATACAGTAATCAAGAGGTGAATTTGTGCATTATACTTTATCAAATAAAGCAAACCAGGCAGCCTTCCGTGTTTGAGAACGGTGCTGTTTTTTAATCGCCCACTAGAGGGCTGCAGCACCGCAATAACAGCCTAGTTCAAATGAACGAAATGACTCAAGAAAAGATTAGTTCATTTTAATGAACGAGATTTGAATGAACGAGTCTGTCAAAAGACTCGAACTTGCCATCACTATCTGTAACTACGGAATAGACCATCTGCTTCATGTTTACACTGGCACGCGCATGCCCAGTGCACCTGAACGGGTCCTAGCTGTGCGTTTTCAGTCATTTTAATGGAGATCAACTCCAAAACGCAGCGGAAACGCAACGGTACTGAATGTGGCACCTTGGACTAGCAACAGACTGAACGTCCTACTGAACTGAAGCTGAACAATAAGCAGCAGTATGAACTGTGACGCTTCCACTATTGAACATACTAAAGTGCCTTGTAACGCTGATGCATTCACTTTCTGATGCACATATTTAAGCACATTTGAACAGTGATGCAACCACTTAGCATAGGAAAAAACGTAAATGAACTACATTGTCAGAGACTATGAATCTTTGAACGGAATGAACTGAACTGAACATTATGATTTAATGGTATGAACGTGATTTCCACCTCAAAGCTCCACTCATAAACACAGCAACTGTATGCAATATAATTGTTTCTGGACTGTTAAAGTTCAAGTATGCTCATCATGACAATGTCTGTGTGTGGGCTTACATTGAAAACAATAGTTTTGAGTTTTTTAAAGGGTATTTATGAGTGGCTCCTTTTAGAGCATGTGAACCACAAACATCCACAACCATGCAATACATAGAAAGACTGACAGAATCACAAGTTCCTGACAGGGCATTTCTGGATTTTTATGTCATTGATATCTTGACTAAAAGTCACACATAAACACAAGGACAATTCCAAACACTGCTGAGAGGGTACAACGGACAAACAGGCAAACCTGAGGCCTGAGTGCCAATCAGTACAGTTTTAAACTCACCTGGGAGAAGTTGAGCCCATTGAGCGGATGGCACTGTTCCTCCACCTTCTCCACAGCCCCCGTCCTCTTCCTCATCCTCTCTGCCTCCTGGGCCAGGTACAAGTCCAGCACCGGCACCCCTCGTGTCTTAATATCTGCCTCGGTTAACGAATTCACCATCAGCATCACCCAAACTGGCCGCTTCCTCTCCCAATTCCCAGCGATGGCGTTGAAGAGGTAGTCTGCGTAGAGTCCCTTCCCTCTCTGGTCCGGGGTCATCCATGAAGGCATCATGAGCTTTACATACTCAAGGTGTCTTTTAAGTCTCCGATAGATGTCTCTGGGCAGGACATCCTGTAGGTTCTCGCCCTGAGGAAGCAGCTGGCAGCTGGTCAGGGCTGAGATGGTGTAAGGGTCTGTCAAGTCCAGCTCAAAGTAGACAATGTTGCTCTCCTGGAAGGCCTGCTTGGAGTTTTCGGGGATGAAGTCCCAAACACGCGTGTAGGGAACATGGATTGTGCCATAGAAATATGAAGGAGGGTCCCGTTTGATCATCCACAGGAAGGAGTTTAGGTCAGTTTGCTGGGGAGAAAGATAAAAGGTTTAGGTTTAGAATATTTTCAGTATTTACTTATCAGTTGATGCTTTTCTGGTGGCTTCACAGATGTCAGGAAATGGTTAAAAATACCAATAGCAAGTTCACAAAGCCCAAGCCGTTGTGCTTGTCATGACCAACAGTTTTAGACCCAACATCTGAAAAGCAGTGTGATTAGCAAAACTGTTGCTGCTTAATTTTCTGTTGACTGACTCAATATTTCAGCAGTGAATATTTGCATGTCAGAACCAAATGATGAGCATATAGGGTAAAGAGAAATCAAGAATCAGACAGAAATGAGAGCGAGCTTATGTATTATTCACTTAAAAGTTGTGCCGTTTACCTTACATGAACCAACACTTGCCCTGTCTGACACTAATCAGCACTTTGTCTGTGAGAGGCTGTTTATTAGATATAGGTTCCTAACAGACTGATAATGGCTTATTAACAGGCCACTTAGCACCCAAGTGCCAAACAAACAATACACATGTCAGTGATTGTCGGACTGTGAACTGAACATTATGCTGTCCTGTTTCTGCTGCATCTCACCGGATATGGTCTGTGTGAACATGTCTGACAAAGAGAGATTGAAAGTTAATCAACACAGGGGAGGCTAAGCAATCTTATTCATTTGTAAAAGACAATACAAAAGGACAGAATGAGTCTTGAATTGACGGCATTACACAAAACACAAAACTAGTGCTGAAACGATTAGTTTATTCATCGCTCAGTCAATTGCCACAAAATGAATCATCAATAAATGTGATTATAGATTAATTTTATGCTATTCCAGCAAAACAAAAAGCTCTGGCACCTGCTTTTTATTCCAGTATTATCATATTACTATAATAAGATTAGGCCTATTAATTGAATTTCTTTGGGCTTTGGACTTTGCAGACAACACCTCAGACTGTGGGGACTTGTGCATTTTAATCTGTTTCTCCACATTTTATGGACTAAAGAGTTATTGAAGTCATAGATAAATCAATAATGAAATAATGAAAATAGTCATTAGTAAATTGGTTCAAAGGCTTAAAGGTTCAAAGATTAGACAAGTAGCCCACAGAGAGATGCAACTGAACATTGGGAAGTTGGTCCAAATATGTAAACCCATGTAGAAAAGGTGAACTGTATGTCAAAGAGGGGAAATGGTAAGCTACTTTGGGGGTCCTTTAGCCTGATGACAGTTTATACAACAAAATAAAATCATTTAGGAATAATGTGACAGTTGTAAAACGCACGGGGAAGAAATTATAGTTACTATAAACAATACTTTAAGCAGTGTAAGCAGTGTAATTCATCATTTATTTTCGCTGAAGAATGACTTACTTTCCTGTTGAGCTCGCAGTTGGCGGAGTCCTTCAACCTCCACGGGTCAGCTCGGACCAGGAGTAGCAGACATGACTGAATGAATGCGCCCAAAGTACCCCGCATCGTAGCTCTCTCCGAAGTGTGCACGGTAGCGTGTGTTTGCTTCACAACGTGTTGCAACAACTATTCCCCAGAATACATGGATGAAGTCTTATTTCCACAGCTCCGGCTCCATGCGGTCGCGTAAAATGAGCTGACAAGTATCCGACAAACCGCCGGACAGAGTCATGCTGGCTGCAGCCTGGACATGGACGCGCTGCTGCTGATTCACGTGTGTTTGAGAAAGAGAAATTGGTAGTCAGTTATGGTTTACATCATCCTCTCACTGCTGGGCAGGCTGCTCCCTCCGCATCTCACGTCCCTACATTGACTTCTCCGCGGTGTTTTGCAGAGTTTGCGTGAGTTTGAAAGTTTGAAGGTTTCAAACCAAAGTGAACCAACAGGTCCGCGCTGCGTCAACTCACCTGAAGCCAAAAGGCAGTAGAAGTCAGGATGATTTTCCTAGATATTTTAGTAGAATAGCTATGAGTCTGGCGTGAATGAGCAAACTGCCGACGAGTCGCTCTTTCTAGAGAAAGGTCTTAAAACCAAAATTTCTCTGCACACCGCTGTGTCTGTCTGCCAGGTCTGCACTGTTTGTTTCTGCAACTCTCTCTCTCCCTCACTCCGACGTGTGTGAGCATCTCTGTTGGGCAAATCCACTCGACCTACCCCGTAGGTTGCCTAAATACTCCCCCCTTCTCTCTCTCTCTCTAACACACACACACACACACACACACACACACACACACACAGCAGTAACCTGATTAAACAGACACGTAAGACACGTAAAGTCTCCCTTCACACCATTCATGTCAATAAACAAGGTGTGGAAGCTTGCAGACCATAAAGTTTAAGTGGAAGAATTAAATCCATAACTAATGCCAAAATTTCATCACTGTTATAAATAAATAGCTTGGTCCTGATTCACAGTATCTTTACCTGTTTTCAGTTTCAGTGTCAGACTGATGAGGTCTCTTGTTGTTCCCCTACAGGAGGCCTACAGGCAATCAAGGATATATAGATCCCGTGGATAGATTATCATGCCCTGGTAGTTAATGCCTTACAAACTGGATGCATTAACATGAGAAAACCCGCAATAACAGCGCTTTACAAGAGCAGCAGACCTTATGGGGCAGCCCAGACAAGCTCACTCACCATATATAAACCAAAGGTTGCCCATAACATGATGATAATGTTGTAATTGATCCCCATACATTTATAAGGCAGCATTCTGGTGACCCTCATGGAGCCTAATCACACAGCCATGATGAACAAGCATTGCTCATTCTTTTGAAGCCTAAAATAGACGTTTTAATGAAAAGAACTATAATTTGACTGGGTGTTTTGTTTGAAAGGGGGTGTTACACATGGGGAGCAACATTTTTCGATTCACGATATTTGAATCAATCAAAAATACACATAAGTACAAAATGTAGATCTTGTGAACTTTTTGAAAGGTCCAAAATATATGATACTGATGATCTTTATTTTGTCATAAAGATTCTTAAAAATAACATTTAAAAAAAAAAAGGTTTCTTACATGGAAAAACATGGTCAAAATCTGGATTGGACATGTACCAGATTAACAGCTACTCAGTACACAATGAGTACAGAGTCAATAGTCTGATGTAGAGTTGCAAATTGTGTATTGTACACATAAAGTAGCCTACAAGTACAATATTTTGGCTTGTGTAGCTGGAGGTTGATCTGTGCGCTGTGACTCCGTGCTCTGAAACCTTCAGATGGGGGCAGTGAACACATGTTGATATTGTTTGACTGAAAGACTTTGGGGCTTTATTTTTGTTGGTCGCTGTTTGCAGTCAAAGAAGAGTAGCAGCAGTTCAAGAGGATCTCACAGCTGTGAAAATCCACAATTTAAATTATTAGTGAATTTGCTTATAACACCATTTACCCAGTTTAAAACTGAAATTACAATAGGAAAGATTATATATAGCCTACATATTCAAACAGTGTGTATTAAAATAAATGCAGCCCACATTATGGACTATTTCTAGTGTTTCTGTCCGTAGGTTTGGAACTGGGACCCATGATTGTAATGTGACTCTGTTAAAGCGCCTCCTAGTGGAGACATTTATTGTTACCAGCTGTGCTATTCTCTACTGTCTGTGCTGTGACAACAACGCACCGTTCAGTCAAGCCATTCAAAGCTATTGAGGAATTTTCTAACACTGGAGTAGAGTACTCTGAGAGAAAGAGGCAGGGAGATGAAAGTGGGGGTTGAGGGAGGGATGGGATGGGATGGAAGGACAAAACACAGACAGGAAGAGAAAAGACAGAAAAGAAGCAGCTGAGATTCACGCAGTTAAAGATAGAGACTTTGTGAAGACTGAGTGGTGTATCTCCAACACACTGCGGGGAAATTGCATTTGTCCAATTGTGTTGTTGTCTGAGTAATGATGACAATGTCAGTCATCCATCTACAGCCTTCTTTAAATGACATCTGTCTCGTGCTAATTTATCCAAGCCAAAATGAAAGGATGAAGGAGGACTTGGTGGTGTGTGTCATCTTTGTGTGTGTTCTGCATCTGTATGAAGGTAAAAACACCTGTGGCTGCTTCCTCTTTAATGTCTGAAAAGGTTGAGAAGCGTGTGGTTTGTAGGGAGCCATCTGTGTGCAGCCACACACACACACACACACACACACACACGCACACACACACCTGTTTGTTGTTTCCATTATCTCCCTACTTAGCTCACAGAGGCAGAACAATCTAAATAAAATAAATATACACATCCAACATATGTACATGATCCTCTCTGACGCTGTGCAGCATCACATACGTCAGAGGTAAGGCCCGTTAATTGCTGCTTGTTTTTTTTATCATTTATCTTGATTGCAGCAAAATGAAGAAACACATTTTACTTTAACTAGATGTGGGCTCAGGAAAAAGTCTGAGGGTCATTGCACCTCCGGTTGTCAGGAATCCACTAACCAGCCCTTCACGCTGTCACATGGCAGAGCAAAATGTTTCCATAACTTAAAACCATATGACACGCCAGCATGAAGGGTTAATGAGTTGATGTTTTTGAAGTTATAACCATCTAAATCTCATCAGGTAACCAGACACCTGTGCAATACCCTTTTAGCAAATTATAGTTGAAGGTTATGACAAGATTATTTTGATTAATAGTTATTTAGTTTAAATTTCGTGCAAATGATGGACATCCTTTTTCAAATAGATTTAAAAAAAGGCTATTATAAAAGTCCACTTCTTGCTTTTAATGTTTTACTATCCCTTTCCCTATTTGTCTGTGTTTTATTTTGACTATATTATGTATTTAAATGACCCTTCACATACCTGTAAAACTCATTCAAGTCACATAAATCGTCTTTAAAAAATGGACACAGTTGCAGTTCTATTATTTTATGAAAGGGAATCTATTTGAAGCCAGGAATGGACTTCAGTGACCCCTGTTAATACTGATACTACAGCACATCTGTACATTTCCACTTTAAAGTGGCTCTGTTTGTGAAGATCAAACAGAACTGGGGTCTTCTGAGGGTTCCCGAGCAAACATCTGATTCTGCCTCTTTAGAGAAATCTTCAAAAGGATTTCACAATATGGAAATGACCACATATGTTTCATTTTACAAAGACTGGGAGGTGGATGTATTTGGTCCCGTCAGGTGACCCATACAAGTCTGTCTGTCTCTTTGAAATAGGAAAAAAAACCTACAGAAAATAGAATATAGTGAAAAATATGTCTTTATTATATAGCACACCCAGATCATCTTTTTAATGAACACAACCCTGTTTCTGATTGATTAAGCCTGAAGCAAAGTTGGAAAAACATAAATAGCAATTAACAAAAAGAGCCTTCATGTGTGTATGCAAGCCTGCAAGTGCTTCCAGATAGCTATCTATAGTTTACAGTATTTTTATGTCTGCATGCACACTCGGTTTACACATTCCTGATGTTTTTATAATCATGAAAACAGACCACAGAAGACATGACTTTCTGTAAGCAGACTGCTGGACAGATGTATCCATTCATTTTACACAACGTCAGAGAAGAACTGTGTTCATCCTTCCAGTAATAGCTTGATTTTATATGACTCAGTCCATTTACAGATGGTCAGTCATGTTGACCATGGTCCGCTTCCTTAAAGCTCATTAAACTATCATTGAAAATACCTGGCACTAGTATCTGAAGTTCTGCAGCATTTTGTGTGTGTGTTCGTGTGCATGTAGTCTACTGTATGCCTCACTGTATATGCATGTAGCAGTATTGTTTGCTTGTGTGCATTGCCTTTTTGAGTGGGTTGGTGGAGGACGTTGCATCAAGATTGGTCAGAGGTGAGATATCCCCTTCATGTGAGGCCAAGCCAAGAAAACTGAAATTGTAAAATATAGAGATCTGTCAAATGTACAATTTATCTTTATTATTTTGTTGTTCATGTTATGGCTAAAGTTATTGTTACTCTTATGTTATTGTTAATTGTGTAGTAGTATATCATTAGTAGTTATTACTCTTAGTAGTAGCTATCTTAGCAGACAGATGGCTTAGCTCTGCTTAGTTTAATGACTGGTATTAGGCTAACATGGCTCCATCTAGCCTGTCTGTTTTTGGTACAGACATAACAAACAAGAGTTAACATGTTAATTAGTGAGCTATAGGTGCTGCAGGATGTTTAAAAAAACAGGCTAGCTGCCTCCATAATTGTTCCAGGTAGTGTTTCCCGCTGCTCCCAGTCTTTATGCTAATTAAGCTAACCGTATGCTGCCTGGAGCTTCATGTTTAACGTATAACTTGTAGCAAATGACAGCGGTATTAATGTTCTCATCTAGACTAATTGTGTATTGCATTCAGCCATCTATAAAGACTGTTTTGTTTTTTACTTTATACATAGTGGCTTTAATATAAAAAGTGTTATTTGGGAATTTCAAAAACATATTTTATCTTTATCTGTTAATATTATAACTAATATTAGCTGCTATTTGTGATCTCTCGCGACAGTGACTGCATGACGGTTTCTGTGGACTTCATCGTCATATTGACTGCTTCATTGATACACATTAGAATTTCTTTTTTTTTAACTGCTGGACTTTGACTTTTACATACAAACAAACAGAATGATGAAAGTCCATTATTCGGTAGCTTCCTGCTGAAGGAAGTTTTGGTTACTTCTCACCACCAAAACAGTGACTCATACATTTTATTGTTACGTGCTACCTTGTCTGGAATGTGTTATAGACAAATCTTAATCTATGTAATCACAGTAAACAGTGACTCCCTTAAATTTCCTGTTTCCTGAAGAGACAGAGACATTGTGGTGGTTATAAAATGCTGATCGGGATTCCAGATCAGCATTTTGTAGTTATTTTAATCGTATCACTACTACAGCCATTTCAAACAGACTTATCTTTGTTGAAAGGAGATATGACCTTTGCAATGATGTCTTTTCTGGATTTTAGAAAAAAAATATATACAATGTATAATTATGTAAACTACATTGATTTTCTTTGTGTGAAATGATAATCTGACCTGAACATGTGAATGATCTAAATGGTGTTTTTGTGCCGCTTACAGTAAAGCCATCTATTATGATCTGTGACTTCCCAACACAAGCAAGCAAACCTTCCAGATAACTCAACGTCAGTATGTTTTACACACTGTCCTTCTAGTTTTAGCACGGATACAAACCA